GTTGTTGCAGTTCAATTTCTTCTCCAATTTGAATTGCTGTAGTTTGCATATATGTACCCTAATTAGCTTCACTGATAATTAAAAGAGAGCCACATGATACCTTATATAAGAAATGCAACATTTTAATGTGCAAAGAAGATTTTTGGGGAGTTTTCTATGAAAACAAGAACACAGCTTTTGTGTTAACATTAATTAAATTAAGAGAGATTCAATTGCTAACTTCTTTTTGGCACAGCCGTTAAAACAGTCCTAAAAATTAATCAAAGCTTGTATTCATTAGATTATGTATGACAACCCTTAGTCCATCAAGCTTATCTAAAAGAAAGATTTTCAGGAAAAGCAAGATAATATTCAATGCACCCAGACGGGATCTATAACAAGCAGTGTAATAAGATTGTGATAGGCCTTTTACAAGGTACACAAGGAACAGCAGGCTGTTTTTTTCTGTGCATTTGTTTGAGCAAAAGCAGTGCACACACAAATGTCTAGAGCCGGGCTGGGAGTGGCCATGGCAATGTAAGTTGCCTAAGCAATGCATCTCCTTCCTTAACTCCCATTATTTGAATTTTTTAGGTGCTGCATATACAGGTGAAACTCGAATAATTAGAATATCGTGCAAAAGTAATTGCAGTAAGTGCTGCAAAAGGGGCCCAAACCAAGTACTGAGTACATATGCATGCTTGTACTTTTCAGAGGTCCGATATTGTTCTATGTACAATCCTTGTTTTATTGATTGCATGTAATATTCTCATTTTTTGAGGTTGTGGATTTGGGGTTCTTGGGGTTTTCATGAGCTGTAAGCCATAATCATCACAGTTATGACAAATCACGGCTTGAACTATCTTGCTTTGCATGTAATGAGTCTATCTCATATATTAGTTTCACCTTTTAAGTTGCATTAGTGAAATAAATTAACTTTGCACGATATTCTAATTATTCGAGTTTCACCTGTATATATAAGCTAATCATCACCTGATTAAACAGATTATGGTAACATCAGAAAATGCAATTGACTTTTTAAAGAAAAAACATACCAGGGACTTTTGTAGTTGAATGGCATTCCCATTTGCCGAAGCCTGCAGTTCAGGACAATATCTGGGTTTCCATTATGCCGATCCAACTAACCCAGTTAAACTGCCTACTTGCTGCAGCATGCAGAGAGCTTTATCACAGGCTTAGTCTATTAATCAGTTCTGCCAAAAGATTGTCCATTGTTTTTGAGGCTGTTTACTATAAGCTGCCCTTCCATAGGATAACTTCTGCTTCAATCTCATAAATGTACATTTATGCCACAATCATTCTACAGAAGGATCATGTCAAAGTCATACTAATTCAACTGCAATCTTATGCCTATGGCTAGGCCAGTGCAATTCACTATGCCAGTCTGAATTTAAAGTGTATCTAAACCCAAAAACAAAAATGTTATATATTGCAGTTACCAATCATTAAATGTAGTGGCTGCAATACTTTTCTCTTTTATACTTTTTTTTTAACCTTTATTTTCACCTGGTGATCCGACCATTAACATTACCACTTTCTGTCCTAGGGTGGCTCCACTCTATAGAGCACAGCAGCATTGCCAACCTGTGGACAGGGTAGTGTTAGATCCACTTGCAGATTTAGATGACGTTTACTAACAAATTAAATCCAAACTCTAGCTAACACTTTTTAAGCAGTTACAAGAACTGTTTTTTTTCCTTTTGGGATAAAAGCTGACTATTGTAAACACCCATGTCAGTATTAAAGGGTTTGTCTCAGCCCTCTATTCTGCCATTTAGCTTGACAGATTGGTCCATCAATAACAGGCTTAATGGCTGGATCACCAGGTAGGAAAAAAGGCTAAAAAGAAAACTAATACATCCACCAAATCTATGAATTGGTAAGCTGCAATAGTTTACATTTTTGCTTTTCTGTTTAGATATGCTTTAATACTGCATTGGCTCTTCCACTGTATTATAAAGTCAGCATCTTGCTGGTCTCTGCCTTAATCTATATTAAGTTACTTGGCCAAATCAAGATAACATAACTTCTAATCTTTGATGCATTTTTTACTTACAGCTGTCCCTTAGTCATAGCTGACATAACACATGAATTATCAGATAAAGAGAGATAAATAGCTTTCCCATACACTATCCCCTTCTCACAACTCAAATTAGGTAAGGAATGTATAAGAATAACTCAGAAAGCCAATAATAATCATAATTGCATGGACAAGGAAAATCGAAAGTGGAAGTAATTAAAGAAACGCCTCAGTCAGTTAATAGAAAGATACCTTTACACATATGTAAAATAGATGTATATATAATCTATTATATATAGATGTAATATGTATATCTATAATCTATGTATATATAGATGTGTTCCACCTTAAATTCTAACTATATGACACACTTATCTGCAGATAAAATATCTATTACACCTCGCATTCCAGGAGTTTCTAGGAGATTGTATTGCACATCTCTACCTGCTTAGTAAATAGCACCTGACTAAATGCCTGAAACCAGTTTCCCTGTGGAGTGTTCTGGAACAGATGATAAAAAGAGAAGTGGTTCTTCTACTCTGTGCTATTCTGAATTCTCATGTACAAGATATTATGGGAAGATAATATGAAGATTTTAGGCAGTTACAGTATACCAGCAATTCTTAACACACAGTAAAGGAGCTTTAACACAAGCCGTATCTGACCGCTCTAGCTGCTTATTCTGAGATGAATTAATCCTCAAATATCACAACAAAGACTCTAAGCGTTGTGTTTTAGATGGTTTCTAACAGCTTACAAGCATCTGCTCTGTGTTTAAAGAAGAGGGTTGGCAAGCTGCCAAGATTTCACCCCAAAATAAAGTAATAGGAAAAAAGCTAAGGTTTCAGTGTCTGGGTTGTGAAGTTTAAAGATTAATTTATCCACAATGCCTATAGCTTCAGAGGTGACTGAGGGCTTTTTTACGTGCCTTTTAGTGTTTGTTCAGGATATGTAAATACTTCAGTGTTCATAGTCTGAGCACAGGCTTTGAGATCATTCAATGACTACATAGCTGGACTAAAGTGTGTTGTGTGCCCAGATTCAATGGGGCTAAAGACAAACATATTTAAGTCAGCTATGTTAAAGGAGGCCAAATAAGGCTTCAATGAGTGTGTTTACCTACATTAATTTATTGTGAGTCCGACCGTTGCAATATTTAGTCAGGATACTACATTACAGAGTTTCATGATGGTGCACACTGTAAGTATACAGACAATCTCATGCAAGAATTACATTTCTTTACTAGGTAACCTACTATTTCAACAACTTAAACTGATTTTATTGAATTTAAAAGAAATTTACTAGGTATCATTTGTATAAACAGATGATTATACCTGTTTATTAATATTAATGAAAAGTTATTATTCTTGTGAAAAATAATCTCGTTTTTCCCTCCAAACAGTGAGCATGGCCACTAACAGACTTATAGGTGCAGTGGCAGGGACCATTCTGGCTCTGGGGGTGATATTTGGAGGCACAGGGTGGGGAATAGAGTAAGCATTTTCCAAGTTTTATGTTTGGTGACTAGTGTGTGAGGTGAAAGTATACTGTGTGTCTGAGCCTTATGTGTACTTGTCCCATTGGCTTTGTGTCACGTGGTGATGACCGTAATAGTCATGTGATTTGACTGTGTCCTTGTTATGTGATTTGCTCATGCAGTGTTGACCCTCTCCTGTCTGGGACAATGTGGGGCATAGTATGATTTTCTATCTTCCCCAAACCCACACAGAACTAGATGTGTCCTTTTTCTTGTCTTAAATTGTCTATGGTAGAAAATAAAGACTTTTTTTTACTTTAATAAAATGCAGCCTTTGATAAAGGGGGCAGTCCTTTTTTTATGCTCATAATTAGAATACTTACAATAAATACACAGTGGTTCAGATTCTAGATTAAATCAGTTGTCTTTATCTGTTTCTTGAATATTTCTATGTGCAATCAACTTAATAAAGTTATCTCAAATTTGACAACTTTTATATTGCCAGTATTTATTGTAACTGTGCCTACAAGTTACAGTAATACATGTTCTTACCATTCTACTGTGTGAGATCCTGAATGGATTACTGATTGTACATTTCTACAAAAGTATTTCAACACTCAGGGGCCCATTTGACAATTACGTCTCATGTGAAACTGGCAAATTGTTTGTGTAAGTAAATGTTTGCTAAAACATTAAACAGCTCCTGTCTATGCACTATACTTTGAAAATATCCACATTGCGTGCAAAAAGCAGCAATAGTATATCATATAACAGCAGTATCCATAAGAGGACTGCTGATAGCTAAAACAGGCATATAAGAGTTCGCTGACCATAAGAGTGCCTGCTTCTTTAAAACATGGACAGCCATGCTGCGTGCTGCAAACCCTTTTTTCGGCTTTATTCTTTCTGCCAATATGTAATAATAAAAAACTTAATGGGTGCTCCCCATATTATTCAGAACTACAGCCAGAGCTATTTACTTGCTGACTTTGATTACTAATAATCAGTCCCCTGTGCTACTGTGTGTTTTTTTCTTTATATATACTTTTAGCCAATATTTGTATTCAGTTTTGGATAAAGTGGGAAAGAGTAAGAACCTGTGTCATGATGTTATTGCTTAAAAGAAAAAAACAGACCGGTGTGCAAACCAGAGACCATCATAGGTATAGTCTGCTCACATGCAGAAATGTAGAGGCCAAAGGGAAATAAAGTAAAACCTAAGTGAGAGTGCTGCTCCCATTAGGATGTGCAAATCCTTATATGGGTGACATGGTAAAGATGAACGAATGGCTCCTAGTCAACACGTGCTTTATTTATTTGTTGTAATCTTTTCCAACATGCTATGAGGCTTTAGTAGATTCTGTCATTAGTGCTATAAACAAACACAATAAAAGCAATATCAGAGTTTTTATTGGCGTCTGTTCCTGTTGAAGAAATATGTACATGTTTCCTCGCTTTAACATTTGTCACCGGGACAGGAAGTGAAAATAAAACTCAACAGTGCTTCTGCACGCTATCAAAAATGGTTTTCATTGCTCTCTGTGTTTCCAGTTGGAGATTAAACTTCTTGTCTCATCTGAGCCAAAGCACCAGCACATGAACTGATGGGAAGCGGCCCAATCAGGGACACAAGCAGCGGTTGTAACCTTTCACCTACTCTATCCAAAACAAAAAACATTTTGGCTTTAGTTCCACTATAAATAACTTCTCTTTTATATCACTGTGAGGTTATTGAAATATTGTTTCACACAGTAGACATTTCCGACTATGATATTATAGCTATGCATAAAATTTTAGTTTTTCCTCCTCTGCTCCTTTCCTTCTTTTTCAGATGACTTCTATAATGACACGCATGTTTTATTCTAATAGCACAGAATATATTGTATCTGCAACAGCTGAGATTTTTGGTTGGCAGGTCACCATCTTGGTTTTTACATGACAAATATCATCCATGGCTACATGGCTTGAAAATCTGCCATTTTTTTTTACAGTTCTGTAATTAGAATTGAAAATCTTGTTCACAACTATTGTTGGTGTTAGATGTTTAAATGAGCAGTGTAGCACTCTGTGAAGTCTGAACTGATCTCTCATTAAAGGAACATGTGCTTTACTTTTGTTATATTCTGTTATAAAAACTGTCTGGACACAACTTGCTGTATTTTGTATATGTGTAACCTATGTTTTGCAGTTATTGTTGAAGATAATGTTCCTTGTTTAATGTAATATTCGAGGTACCATGTAATGATTCATTGTGTAGTTTGAGTTTTGTAATGTGTTGTAGATGTAGTGAAAACTTTTTCTCATTGGGATCAGGGATATTTAACTAGTTAACATGGAAAAGAATAAATGTCATAATAAAACTAGGCCAGGCTAGGTTCCTAATGGGTTTAGGTCAACTTAAAGTAGCCTTTAGCTTGTTTGATATTTTTAGAGGTGCAGCCTTTCAATATCACTGATATAACTGCCGTAATATGGTAAGACATCTGTGTCCACATTTGGGCTCGCTAGTAAAAAGATCCTAGTTATTGGACAGAAGCTAATCTATAAACATGCTACCCATTTAACATGTATTTACAGCATTTGCTACAGAACTACCAGAACAAATAACAATTGGTTATTATGTTTCAAATAATAAGCTGATTTTATTAACTGTTGCTTAAATGGTATGTACCGAATGTGTTTTCTACAGGTAAGTTGTAAAAGACTTTCTTTTACAGTGGATAGTAAAGGCTTGCTTCATCTTGAACACTATCCACTCATTTTTTATATTACTTATATGTTTCCTTTCCAGAAAAACATTCTGTCTGCTGCAGTCATTTTTATAATACTGATTGATTTAACAGGGAATAATAGCACACTGTGCTTAAGTTTCTAGTTACAGAAATTCCTAAAAAACCCTGAAATGTAACTAGATGGGGTATGGGTACTGTGTCCTCTATAGATAAATAGATAGATAATGGGGCAAGAGATATTAATTGGCAATGACCCTTAATACTCAATAAGGAATAAGAGAGTGAGTTACTTTCTGCTGTTGGCCATGTCTGTACAACAATCAAGAAAAAAAATTGTACAACAATGCACATATACAAACTTGCACATTTTGAGCTTATATTATTGTATAAATATTCTCAGTTTTAATTTTGTCTGCTCTTAGATTCAGTATACACCACTGGCGCATCCTACCAAAATCTACCAAGCTAACCCAGTATTCTATACTTAAGGTCTTTCAAACAGGCAATAAAGGGCAATGGGTAGTGGAACTAAGAAGGACAATTTACTCCTTAATCTTGTTTAAGTCTTGTTTAACTCCTTAAGCTTGTTTCCTTAATGATGAAAATAGATACTCTTCCTTTTTTTATATCCCTAATTCCACAGCCATGTAATTTATTGATCATTAAGAATTATACAAAACATGCAGCTCTGTTTTCTGTATCCAGTTTGCATCAATTATATCTTTCATATCATAATGTATACATGATATTAGTCTACAGCATTAGTATGCTCCTACATTAGTACAGTGTAAGGGAGAGGAATACCATATGGAAGTGAAGTAAAAACCCATTAAATTATTCACATGCAAGCATGACGATGTGAAGTTTTTATTGTCCTCTTACCATTTGACCACCATCAGCTAAGAAAAAGATAATTACATACTGATTGAGTGAAAAGTAGCGAGGGCAATGAGAATTCATGACATCAAATGAGGAACTATTTCAGAAAACCTGTGAAAATCAAAGGGGTTGCCACTTTTGAGACCTCTCCTTCAGAATCCTAGTTGCCTGCCCCTGGCTAAAATACTTTTTTAGAGTCACTACTGGAACAAGCATGCAGATTAAGTAAGTGACTCTAAAACCAGAATGCCATACTTGTTTCAGGTCATTGACTCAAAATATACAGAATGCACTGAATAATCATAACAGCCAGGGACCCAGCATTTTTAAAAGAGGAGGTCAACATTGGCAACCTCCATACTTCTTTTAGTACAGTATTTTTGTTAAAGTACATAACTCTTTTTAGCACCATGAAACATGCCTGTTCTTGGAGTTATGGGTGTTGATTTACAAAAGGATTATAGTCAGTTTTTTTTTCTTTTTCTTGCATGTGATTGGGTATTCTTTGCAATGTGAATTTTCACCACATTCATTAAGCTAAGTCAAAATTCCCTTGCAAAGTGAAAATTCACTATGAAAAGTGAACCTCCTCTACTCCTTCAGTTTGCTGTTTCTTCTAAACTGCTGTAAAATGAAATTGACGAATGTTACAATAATATTCAGAAACAATGAATGAGGTGTATATGTGATTGAAAAGTGACTGGGTCATGAAAATACTAAGTTGAGGTGTGGGTTAATTATGACAAGGACCCTTCAGTTTCTTCAAGTGTTCTATGCTCTTTAGAGATAATTGCACAAATGGGATCTTTTGGGCGCCCTTTTCTTCGTAAGCCTACTTGCTGCCTTACAATGTTTGATGGCTGCTTGTAAATTACAAATAGCTTGCTTTGATGTTTGGAATGTTCCAGTCAGAATTTAGTGTTTAGATGTTTAAATGATCTCTTTGAATTTATGAAGACCCCTTTTTTTAACTTTCTGGAGAGTAAACAGCAATAAACTGGGATCATATATTAAAAGATATTTAAATGCTGCAGTTTAAAATGTAACTTTTAAGTGGGTGGGCTAATTATCCTTCACAGGAGGAAAGCAATTTAGTACTTCTATCTAATTACTTTCTTATCAATGAGTTTTCGGTCTTTTAGATTCTAAAAAGGAACAGTGTTGTGCTTTCTTTAATTTTTGAATAAACAAATATACAAGGTTGCTATTACTGTGAACATGGAAATACTGCAAACAAATTTCCTGATTATGAGCAACACAAACTATTATGAAATAATGCAACAAATGTATATTCACAAGATGAGAAGATAATCAGGCATATTTAATAAGACAGTGCAAAAAAAAGTTATATTGTGCATACCATGGTAACCTATATTAATTAATCAGACTCCTCTTAGCGTCATTT